ACTTCACTCACAAGTAAAATAATCCCCTCCATCTGAACAACCTCCGGCGCAGCTGAGAACTGCTACAATAATAATTCAACAAAACCATAGCCACAGCCAAAGAAATCAGTTTGTCTTTTATTTCACAGAGGGTTGGCTTCGATACTGCAGCACAGAATGTCAATAAGGAGCCACATTGGAGAGGAAAACCTCCTGTCGGATGCACATGGTAACAGTTGCTCCAGAATAACACCTCCTAATCACAAAGTGCAAAGAAATAAGACTCAAAAACCAGCATGTTCAAAGCGCTCCGAATTTCTCCCTGCTTTCCAGGCTGGAGATTAAGTCCTCATCATGCCCTGCCCATGAACCATTTCTCCCCGTGACCTTGTGATTCCAGTGCTGGTGACTACTGGTTTTCCCTTTGCTTGGGGCGCTCACATCTCATTTCTTTTCTCATTATCAGTAAAAGCAGATCAAGGACAGACTCTCCTCTGCTTGAATTCTTTCGCTATCGCACAAACAAAATACCTATATTGATTATTGCCTGTTGTCATCCAACAGCTAACAGCACAGTGACAGTGTAGTAAAGAGAGACACCTTTAACTTTCCCTGTGCTCTTGAAAGCAAACCCCAATTCCTACAGGAAAGCCCTGAGGAAACACATCCCACAACACAAGGTTCAGTGCATCTCGGCTTCACCAAGGCCAGTACACAAACATTGCTAAACACCAGTGTTCAGCAGAAGTCCATTGCTGTCAACAAGGAACATCACCTCTGAACACGACCCTGGGTGAATGTTCAAGGGTCCCCAGCTTTCTCTCAACACACCACACCAACAAGCAGCATTTGCTCTGCAACGTAGTTGCGCTTGAACTAGGGCCACACTCAAACCCTTGCATGGCTTACATACACAGTACAGAGCTCGTGCTGCTCCAGCTCAAACTCTTCTCCATCTTCTCTGCAATTCCCAAGATAAAAGCTGCCAGATGTTTTGCCATTCTCTGCTGACAGTAACTGCTCAGAACCCCAGCCATCTGAGATCAGTGTGAGGGCAGCCCCAGCCATCTGAGATCAGTGAGTGCAGCCCCAGCCATCTGAGATCAGTGAGTGCAGCCCCAGCCATCTGAGATCAGTGTGCAGCCCCAGCCATCTGAGATCAGCCCCAGCCATCTGAGATCAGTGGGCGTGCAGCCCGAGCCATCTGAGATCAGTGAGTGCAGCCCCAGCCATCTGAGATCAGTGAGTGCAGCCCCAGCCATCTGAGATCAGTGAGTGCAGCCCCAGCCATCTGAGATCAGTGTGAGTGCAGCCCCAGCCATCTGAGATCAGTGAGTGCAGCCCCAGCCATCTGAGATCAGTGAGTGCAGCCCCAGCCATCTGAGATCAGTGAGTGCAGCCCCAGCCATCTGAGATCAGTGAGTGCAGCCCCAGCCATCTGAGATCAGTGAGTGCAGCCCCAGCCATCTGAGATCAGTGAGTGCAGCCCCAGCCATCTGAGATCAGTGAGTGCAGCCCCAGCCATCTGAGATCAGTGAGTGCAGCCCCAGCCATCTGAGATCAGTGAGTGCAGCCCCAGCCATCTGAGATCAGTGTGAGTGCAGCCCCAGCCATCTGAGATCAGTGAGTGCAGCCCCAGCCATCTGAGATCAGTGAGTGCAGCCCCAGCCATCTGAGATCAGTGAGTGCAGCCCCAGCCATCTGAGATCAGTGAGTGCAGCCCCAGCCATCTGAGATCAGTGTGAGTGCAGCCCCAGCTATCTGAGATCAGTGTGAGTGCAGCCCCAGCCATCTGAGATCAGTGTGAGGGCAGCCCCAGCCATCTGAGATCAGTGAGGGCAGCCCCAGCCATCTGAGATCAGTGAGGGCAGCCCCAGCCATCTGAGATCAGTGAGTGCAGCCCCAGCCATCTGAGATCAATGAGTGCAGCCCCAGCCATCTGAGATCAGTGTGAGTGCAGCCCCAGCCATCTGAGATCAGTGAGTGCAGCCCCAGCCATCTGAGATCAGTGAGTGCAGCCCCAGCCATCTGAGATCAGTGAGTGCAGCCCCAGCCATCTGAGATCAGTGAGTGCAGCCCCAGCCATCTGAGATCAGTGAGTGCAGCCCCAGCCATCTGAGATCAGTGAGTGCAGCCCCAGCCATCTGAGATCAGTGTGAGTGCAGCCCCAGCCATCTGAGATCAGTGTGAGGGCAGCCCCAGCCATCTGAGATCAGTGAGGGCAGCCCCAGCCATCTGAGATCAGTGAGTGCAGCCCCAGCCATCTGAGATCAGTGAGTGCAGCCCCAGCCATCTGAGATCAGTGAGGGCAGCCCCAGCCATCTGAGATCAGTGAGGGCAGCCCCAGCCATCTGAGATCAGTGTGAGTGCAGCCCCAGCCATCTGAAATCAGTGTGAGTGCAGCCCCAGCCATCTGAGATCAATGAGTGCAGCCCCAGCCATCTGAAATCAGTGTGAGTGCAGCCCCAGCCATCTGAAATCAGTGTGAGTGCAGCCCCAGACATTTGAAAGCAGTGAGCTGCACTGCACTGAAGGAAGGGCTGTCAAGTCTGTCACTAACACAAGTGAAGATGAGACGTGGGCCCTATCACGGCTTCCACACCAGCCATCCCGTCCCAGCCTGTGCCTGCCCTATGCTGCCCTCCTTTCCACAGCACACTCCTGCCTGTGAACACTCAGACCTGCAACTCGGGACAGGTTTCTCCCTCAGCATCGCACTCTCAGAGGTCCTCCTTGCAGGGCTCTTGCCCGGGCACATCTCCCCAGACGCAGCTCCTCTCATAAGGCAACAGCCTCCATCAGTTCTTTGACAACACTCCCCAGATCGTCTCCTACCCTTCCCTAAGAAGCTCTGCTGCTCATACCCACCACACTTCAACACTTCCTCCACTGCCACCCTCTCCTTCCAGGACCCTCCACCCCGAGCACGCAGCTTCCCAGGCAGCTCAGGCAGTCTCCACAGAGCTGGAACACCCTTTGCAGAACCCTCATCTGAAGTCCCCATGCTGACAAAACAACTGCCCACAGCCAAAACACACTCCCCCAGCACCTCTCACTGCCGCTGCTCATCTGTGGGCATTTCCGTTAGCTCAGAGCAGGGTCCAGCACCAGCTCAGTCAGGGACCTTCACTTGCACCAGCTTCTATTTCCCACAAGCCGGGTGGGAGCAAGTTCTTGCCACCAACTGAGATCACCCTGCTTCCAAAGGAGTCACGACTCCACCAAACATGACAAAGCACCAGCGCATCGGCTCCACTCAGGCTGGTTTCCGTTCATTCCCATCGTTGTGCCCGTTTACAGCACAAGGGCACCCTACCCAGGAACTGCCATATCCCCATCTCCACAGAAATTAATCAGCATCTCCAGGCAGCAAATAGCTGAGCGCTGCCCATCTGCATGGCCTGGAGAGATCTCGCTCAAGGGATTCTCTTTTAACTCCTGCCAAGCCTTCTCGGCCACATGTAAGGCTGCTGAGAGCACCTCCAGCCCCGAGGAGCTGCTGCCCATCCTGATCCACGGTTCCTCCCCATGGAGCTTCCCACCCCTTGCTTTCTCTCTGGAGAGCACACGAAGAAGATATGCAAACAAGTGCAGGTGAATATGCGAACCGAGGATTCTGTTGCAATGACTAAGGACTGGCATCGGGACCACATGCTTACTGCAAGAGTGTGAGGAGACACAGCAGGGTGTGATGGAAAACACTGGGTGACAACAAGAGCTGGGAAAAGCACTTCTGACCAAAGCTGCATCCATCTGTTGATTCCTTGAGCCTCCTGGATACCCCACAACCGCTCAACACATAGCTCCACACATCAAACACCCGTTACCTCCAACTAACCCGTGCAGGAAACCTCGCCATCAGCCAAGTCACAGCACTTCACGTCTCCCTCCTCCTCCACTCAGGGGATACTACCACGTCGGGAGGACAACAGCAGGTCTGCGAGGCTGCCACCTCCAAGGGGAGGTTTTCAGCATTCACAGCACAGGACTTGGAGCTCCAAGGTGCTTCTGAAGCAGCAATTCAGAGCACGGCACAGCAAGCCCTATCTCCCACTCCCAAGCTCAGATCCACATTCCAGCTAATGCAACCAGTCAGATCAGCAACTGCTCCAGCCTGCATTTTACGAGGCATCAGCAAAAAGTGGAGGCAGGAAGATGAAAAGATCCTTCAACTTTCTGTGAAAAACTATGGAATCAGCCTGCGTGCAGAGCAAGCCTTTTCTTATCCCTGCCTGCTGGAAGCTGACTTACAACCTACCGCAGGGTTTACATGTCTTTCGGGAAGCCTGCCCAACACAATGGGCAATGCCATTATCCCTCTAAGCCTCTCATCTCCCCGTGAGCTCTGCATCGCCCTGGCTCCTAGCGTGTGTGGTTGGGAGGTTTGTTGAGGAAGCGCTCCCTTGCCCACCTTCCTGCTCAGCCCACACCCACCAAGAGCTGGGCTTGCAGCTGGGAGCTTTGCTGGTGGCCCAGGCACAGCGAAAGGCAGAAGCATCTCGCAGGGAGCACCATCAACCACGGGCTGGGGAGGAGGGCTCAGAGAGGCACCCGCTTCTCCTGGGGGTCCCAGCAGAGTGCAGTCACCACAGCCACGTGTCAGAAGGCAGGACTGACACTCCAGGGCCTGGCCGCAGGACCAGAATCGCCGGGCCACAGCAAGGAGCCACCTGTGGGGCCTGACCAGCATCCCATAGCCCAGTCAGCACCCCATAGCCCGAGCAGCACCCCATAGCCCGAGCAGCACCCCATAGCCCGAGCAGCACCCCAGGGCTGAGGGACCTGCACCAAGGGCTGGCCTATGGCCGGTTGCCCTGTGGCCCTGCCGTCTGACCGAGGGACCTGGGACTGGAGCTGTGCAGGGACCCCGCAGCCGGGTCCTGCAGCCCCAGACAGGACAAGTGCTGCCGGTGCCCAGCCCGCGCCTGGAGCGGGATCCCCGGGCTGGATCCCCGCTGCTGGCTGCCGTCCCCGCCCTCCCCCGTCCCGGTCCCCGCCCGCCGCCGCCCTCCCGTACTCACCCTTGACGGCTTCGCCCCGGTTGAGCTGGATCTCGCCCTCGCCCTGCGGCGCGTAGCTCTTCACCACGATGAACTTGCGGCCGGGCACGGCGCTGTACAGCTTCCGCTTGGGCCCGCGCAGCGGGGCGGGCGCGGCGTGCGGCGCGGGCTCGGTGCCGGGGCCGGGGGGCCCCGCCGGTCCGCCGGGGCTGTAAACGAAGACGTACGTTACGGTGCTGATGCCCGGCAGCTCGCGGCTCGGCCCGCCGCGGCCCGCGGGCTGCGCCATGGCGGGGGGCCGGGGCGGGGAAGGGGAGGGTGGGGGGGGGGGGCAATGCCCGGCGGGGCCGCGGGGGGCTCAGCGCAGCCCCGGCCGCCGCGGCACCGCCCGGGCACCGGCACCGGCTGCGGCTGGGGGGGCACCGGCTGCGGGGGGGCCGCCGCCCGCCGCCGGCTCCATGGCGCGGCGCCGCCCGCCCCGCGCCGCGCTCCGCTCCCTCCGGCGCCGCGCCGCTGCCGCGCGCACCATGGCCCGGGGCAGGTGCCGCCGCCGGCAGCTCCTCCCCCTGCGGGCGGGGACGGCGCCGCCACCGCCCCCCGGCGCCTCCCGCCCCGGCCCGGGGCCGCGCACAGACACGCCCCCTGGCGGCCGTGGCGCTGCCCGGGACGGGACGGGGCGGGACGGGACGGGACGGGACGGGACGGGGCGGGACGGGGCGGGACGGGACGGGGCGGGACGGGACGGGGCGGGAACACCGGCGGGCGGGCGGGGGGGGGCTCAAGGAGGAGCAGGGGGCGGGGGAGGGGGTGCCCAGCTCCCGGGCGGGGGCACAGCAGCGGCGGGCGCTGCACGGCGGCAAGACCGGGGCCGGGGTTCCCCCAGCGCCCGCACCGCGGAGCCCCACAGCGGGGGGGTCGGGGTGGCCGCAGCATCACTGTCAGGGACCCGGCCCCGGCCCCCGCCGCCGCCCCTCTGCGGCGCCCTGTTTTGTGCTGCAGCCCCAGCTCTGCGCTGCAGCCGCCCCCAGCTCCATCCTTGCATCTCCCTTGCCCCGCAGCTGCAGCCGCCCTGTTGCACGCTCGCAGCCCCCGCTGGGCTCATACATCCCCACCCCACAGACTCCACGTCCCCCTGGTACATGGGGCTTCCATAGCCTCGTGGGGCTGCTCCGCCCCCTCCCTCCGGCTGCCCCCCCCAGCCTGGCAGAGCTGTGGGGTCTCCTCCTGCAGCTGGAGGTGCTGCCGGGAGAGGTGCAGATAGGGAGGAAGGGCTGCTGCGGCGGGAAGCGCACCCCAGATATGGCTGTGAGCCAAAGGGGCTCCTGGCTCCCCACAGAACAAGGAGCGGGGATGGTGCCCCTCGGCCTGGGACAGCCTGAGCTTCCCCAAGGAGCGACACCGCCGCCACGGAGCAGCGCTGCCCGCGGCTCGGGCAGCAGCGGAGAGCCGGGAACGGGACCCGGCTCCGAAACAAGGTGCTCCGCGCCCGGGATGAGCAGGATGCCCGAACCCCCTCGGCGATCCCCCCATTCGCAGGCACAACCCTCGGCAGCCTTCTGCCAAAGGCACCCGTCACACCCTGAATATGCGCCGGGATGCGACCAGCCCCAGCAGACCCATCATCGCCTGCTGCTCCAGCACTGCGCTACACTCCCGGCCCCGAAGGAAAAACATCTCATCAGGAATAAATAGCTGCCCTTCCCTTACACTGCTTCTAAATGTCACTCCAGTACCGCTTTTAGGCAGTGCGGAGATGCTGAACACCAGCTCAGATCTCCAAAAGGCCCTTTATGTTGTTAGAAACAGCCACGAGAAGCTCGCAGAAGACGTAGGTATTGCAGAGCTGAGAGTCTGCTTGCTGCAGCGCGCCTGGCCAGGCTGCAGCCATGCACCAGACATGCTGCTCCCTGCATCCTACTCCCTGCATCATGCACCCTGCTTCCTGCACCATACACCCTGCTCCTTGCATCCTGTTCCCTGTACCCTGCACTATGCACCTTGTGCTCTGCACCCTGCTCCTTGCATCCTGCTCCCTGCACCCCTGTATGACTGCTCCCTGCACTCTGCACGCTAGCGTCCACAGGGCCAGTGCTCCCACTTCTGGCTGTGCACGGATGTGGGTACACAGGCACGGGGCTGCCAGTGCATGGTGGGATTGCTGCAGTGGGGCTGCTGGGGCACAGTGGGATCGTTGGCCAGCTCACAGTGGGATCATGGGCTGATGCACATTGGGATCACTAGCCAATGCACAGTGGGATCACTGGCCAGTGCACAGTGTGATCACTGGCTAGCACATGGTGGGATCACTGGACAGTGCATGGTGGGTCACTGTGCACGGTGAGGACACTGGCTGATGCACATTGGCATCACTGGCCAGTGCATTGTAGGTCACTGGCTAATGTGTGGTGGGAACACTGGCTGATGCAAAGTGAGACCACTGCAGCACTGGGGCCATCAACCCCCTCCAGCTCCACTGAACACTTACGGGTGCTCACGCAGACCTCCATGTTGGCAAGTGGGATCCCTCACCAGCCATGCCACTTCTCCAAGCTCCTGCCTACATGACCATTCCCTCGCAGCAACACCAGTGCTGGTCTCAAACCACCAACACGCAGCTCCAGTGCTGCACCCTCTGCAGCACTGCAGCACTTTCATGCACTGTCGCTCATGCATTTTCTCAGCAACAAACTTGCACCATTTTCCACATGACTTGGGCAAATCCTGGAGCTGTACCAGCCACTGGGCCTTGCACAGGTGCCACAAGGATCACAAGAGCCCAAAGCTCCCCCTCAGCAGTTGTGCCAGGGAAGCATCAATCCTGAGCCTCCCAAGCCAATCCCTCTTTACCATATTGATTTTGTAGCACACTCGTTTTCTAGCCGTTAAGGAGTTACTAAGTCAGGATGTCTCAGAAGCCTCCATCCATTAGATCACAGGTATATTTAGAGCACGTTCTGCAACCGCTTCGAAGAGCACCACCAGTTTGGTCTGGGCTGTTTTGGCTCCATTTCAATTAAAGGATATTAATTAGTTTAATCATATTTCATGTTAATGCCTGTTTGATAGAGACCTGTGTCAGCCTTGCAGCTGCTCCAGGTCCAGCCCCTACTCTGGGAACATTTCTACCTGTATCCCCAACTGGAAAACGCGAGGAGAATTGCGTGGCTCAGGTTGTTTTTCCAGCAGGCCAGAGCGGAGCAGCCCTTGGTGTAATTGCCCACAAGCTGACAATCTGTTTCTTCACCCACTTTATCACCCCACGCCACGAGGCACCTTGAGGCCACAGGGAGTGTTTCCTCCTGCTCCTCACTCAGCGAAGCTGTGCTGCTGGCTGCTGGATCCATAGCTAATTCCTGAACCGCAGCCAGGGCACTGTGTAGATCCTGAATAAACCGAACACGACCATGGCAGTGTTTGTTGGAGTAGCCAAGGAGCTTCTTGCGCCCCCAGAGTTTAACTGTGATCTGGTCATACATGATGCCCACATCCTCCTCATCCTCATCCACACAGGATGGACGCCATGGCCGAGACATGGGTACCAGAGGGGACCAGTCCATCAGGGATGCCAAGCAGAGGCAGCTCAAGTAAAATATGATCGCTGTGAGAAGCCCTTTGTCCCTTCATACAGAGCCCCTGCTGCCCACAGGGCTTCTCTTGGTGGTGGCTGTTTACTTGACACTCGTCATCCAACCTGCACATCAGAGTTCACCGAGTGACCGCAGAGTGATGCTGGGACATCGGCCCAGCCGCAGGTATCGTTCTACTGCAGAGGGACACGTCTGGTTGGCAAGTCTCAAAAGCAGATGCAGGACTCATCCTCCCAGTGTTTCCTGCTGCCTCTGTGGCCAGCAACATGCCCTGGAAGCTGGTGAGCTGAAACCCGATTTCTCTGAATGCTTCACCTGAAGCCAGGAGGAGCCTGAGCTGCTGGTGCATGGCAGCAGAGAGGCTGCTCCGAGTCCAGGTCTGGTTCTCCTCCAGATAAATGAGTGCTCCAGAAGCACTGCTGTGAGCCTATGTCCAGTATGGAGATCTGATGCTCACCTTTCTCTGAAATTCCTGGGTTCTCACTCTTGCCCTGCCTGTTGAAAATAACTATTTGAGATGGATTTGATGTGTGACTCCACATCTCATACTTCTAGTGGTATTTTAGCCCCCGGAAGCATCCAGACTCGATATTGCCTGTAGAGAGTGACAGTAACCTGGCAATCTGACAGGGTGACTCCATCAGAAACGGTGTTGGTCCCAGTACAGAAGAATTTCCTCACCAGAGCAGACGCTTACCATAATCATAGAATCATCATAGAATCATGGAACGGTTTGGGTTGGAAGGGACCAATCCAAGCTCATCCAGCTCCAACCCCCTGACATGGGCAGGCACACATTCCACTAGACCAGGTTGCTCCAAGCTCTGTCCAACCTGGCCTTGATGCCTGCCAGGGATGGGACATTCAATATTAATCCCCTCAAGAAGCCATGGCCATTTGTGAGGAAGACAAACTTCCCTTCCACTGGCTGGTGGAAGGTTCAAATCACTGCAAGTGAATTAACAGACCATAACAGTCTCCACAATTACTTCAGATACATGAAGCAGTCCCAGAGCAACCAGGATGGTGGCTTTAATTTCTGTGCCCTCAAGGGGCTGATCAAAAGAGAATCCCTTTGTGTCAGGTGAGTTCTGGCTGAAGGATTCTCAGTTTAGGTTTAAACAACCTCTTCTCCTTCCTTCTGTTGGGAATTCCTGCTTAGTGCTATCCCAGCAGGGCACCCATGGGGTGAAGTGAAGGTGTTCAGAGAGTGCAGCCGATGATCCCTGGGTGCTGCAGCACGGGCTGTGAGGGCAGGACATGGGGACGTGACAGGTCCAAGCCCACAAGGCAGTGCTGGAGCTGTGGGAATAACCCAGCTTTGCCTTGCTGTGTTTCTGTGGCTCTTTGGGAGCAGTGAACGTCCCACAGCATCTCTCACGTTCTCACAAAGGAGCTGTTTCACATCCTGCTTTCCTTCCCCCTGAGAGCTCAATATCACATTTTTTGTTGCTTTCAGATACACAAAGGTTTTTGCATGGGGGAGCTACGTACTGTGCTCAAAACTGAGCCCTTCAGGGATGAAGTGGATTTGGCATCTCTGCAGTTAACCTGCCAGCCTCTCCTAGGAACTCTGACTGCTAAATGGCTCTTGTCCACAAGGCACCAATCCCAGAACTGTG